CAAAAGATAAACCAAACACTTTTTAAAACCTTCTTTTGTAAAAAGCCAAAAGTCAAAAAGTCCTTTTGTAGAAAGAACTTTTTAGCCTAAAAAGCAATCTCAAACACCCCCTAAGAATTAAAACACAAATCAAGATCGGAACAAGTTATATAGATCTAAAAATGTGTTGGACTTGTGGGGGAATCATAGATTGCGGGGGTAACTGTTGAGAGTAGAGATAAAATTATGAATTTAGAGCTTGTGGGTTGGATTGGACCTGTGTAATTTTTGGGTTTCATGTATCTAATTTGTTGTTCTTGATCCACCTTCGATCTATCTTGAAAGAAAAAATGAACAGAGGTGAAGTGGTCTTGGGTAAAAAGAAATTGAGTAAAAAAATGTACAGTGGGGTATACCCTGAGAGATAGAGATAGATAGATAGATAGAGAGAGAGAGAGAGGGTATGCCCCCTTTGCATATTATTTCATATTTTTTAAATAAGAGAAAACATCATAAATGGTCACTGTGCTAGTGATATGACGAAAATGCCTTTCAGTTAACAGACAAAACTTAACGAAATTAGCAATAAGGACAAATCGTCAAAAGTTTGGAAAGCACAGGGACCATCTATGATGTTTTTAAATCATGAGGACTAAACTTTAGATCTGGAAAAACCACAGGGACCATTTATGATGTTTTTTCTTATAAAAATATAGTTTTTGATTTTTTTAATTCATATTTTATTCGGTTAATAATTTAAATAGACATATTTTAATTTAATTCTAAAAATAACACATCTTACAACTTTTTTAGTTTTCATTATTATTATTATTATTATTTTAAAATCTATTATTGTTTTAAGGTAATTAAATATGTTTTTTTTAACTTTTAGGTTATTTATAAATAATAATTTTTTAATTATTATAAAATTACTTTTTTGGAAAATTATAATTATTACAAAAAATAATTTTTTGGTATTTTTTTTGTTTATTTGACATTTTATGTAAAGCATTTAAAATTATATTAATTTTTTTAACTATTTAAAAAAAATAGTCTTTGGATATATATTTTTTTCTCAAGTTTATTTGACTTTTGATTTATGTTTTGCATTTAATATTATATTTAGATTTCGAATTAAAGTATATTAGATCAATAATTATAAAATGTTAAGCATTAAAAAGATAATATTTTACATCCAATTTGAATTAATAAATTAAATATATTAGGTTGAAAATTGAAAATTTAATATTGAAATTAAAATAATAAATGAGTTAAAGTATTAATTAAAACAGAAATTGAAAAAGTGTAGGAGTTTCAAATAAATATAGTTGAAGTCAAATGATACTCGATTTATGGTATATTAGACGTGTGTTCGTGCGTTGCGCATAAGTAAAAACCATCAGTAAAAGATATTGTCATATCATATAAGAACCTAATAACACTATATAATGTAACATCCCAAAAAAACACATAAAATTTTGTTTTTAAATTCATTCAATTCATAAGAAACTGATATCAAAATAGTCGAAAGAGTATAATTATAACATGTTATCAGAGTACAAATTCCCAAAATCACTAAGTGCGGAAAAACATAGAGTGATGCGATGCGATCAGGTCGGGTCATTCCCCTTCGAACTGGAAGTACCTGAAACATAGACTGAAAAACTGTAAGCACAAAGCATAGTGAGTTCCCACAAAATACCACATACTAAACAAACATACTGCCAAACATATATGGGTGTTTGCCTACACTTTCGGTCTATTTCAACTGGATATTGTCAAGCATATATGGGTGCTTGCTTACCCCTTCGGTCTATTTCAACCGGATACTATCAAGCATATCAGGGTGCTTGCAATCCCCTTCGGTCTATTTCAACTGGATATCGGGTCTATTTCACCCCCTACTACTACCACATAATATTATAACATAAATCACAGAGTCATCAAACAAATACAGGCATAACTGACAATTGTCATAAAGACAATCATCACATACATCATAACTAGTGAGTCGGCCTTGGTGCCTTCGAGCCACGGATACTGCGAAGGAAGACTCACCTCAGACTGTGGGTATCAAATTGCACTCAACGGATGACTTGCGAACTCCTCTCCCTATCGCATAATCAAAAAACCCTAATTAGAAATTAGGTCACATTTTAACCCGAAAGTCAAAAACCCTAATTCTTGACTTAAGGTAAAAAGGGCTTCTTTACTTTTGCCTCATTGGGCCTCCCTCCTCCTAAGGCCCAAATCCAATCAAAGTCCAAAAAGGGCATCTAAGCCCAACTATAAGGCCTCTAAGGCCCAATATGGCCCAAGAACCCCAAACATGGCCTTAGTCCCTAAAATGACCTGCTACAATCAGGTGGGCCCGAGGCCCAACTTACACAAGTCCAAAGCCCAACACCAAACGAGCCCAAGAATCTTCTAGGCCCACTGATCGCGTACACGCAACGTACTTGGCTTGTACGCCCAACGACGTTGGTGTTGACCCGTAGTCGGGATGCTGACCCAGTACGTGCAACTTACACTAGAGTACGCATGGCGTACTAGTCTGCCAACCCAAACACACTACCATGACTTAATCCATTAAGTCCTAACGTCCAAAACTTAGATCCAAGTCCCTAATAACGTCTTAAGCCACAAAGTTGCAAACTTTATGCTTTTGCATGCAAGGATGGGGCTCAAATCATGAATTAAGTCCATTAACTCACTTGGATGGTTACCAACACTTGCATGGTTGAGGCTTAACCATCAAGATCTGATTTTTATGCCTCAAAACACTTCCAAGAGTCCAGAAGGACAACTCATGTGGCCTGAAGTTGCTCATACTCCAAGAATCCAACTATGGGACCAAAAGATGCCATTTTCTAACCTAAACCTAGATCTAAGCTTCAAATCATCAAGGTTCAAACTTTATACCTTAAATGGGCTAGAAATGGTGCCAAACTTCTGGATCTACAAGCTCTTTCTTCTCCTTTGCTTCTTCCCAACCTTCCTTCTTCTTCAAAACCACAAAGATCACCAAAATAACCAAGGTAAGCTCAAAGATGCACTCAAGCAAGCTAGGGTTCGAGATATGCACTAGAAGGACAATGGAGGCTGAGAGGGTAAAGATCATGAGAGACTTAAGGACTTTAAATAGGGTGCAAACCCTAAAAATTAGGATTTGCCCTGGCTTGATTACGCCCAACGTACGCTGAGGATCCCCCGATGGCGCGCATGTAGCGAGGATGCCATGCGTAAATAATGTACGCCCAACATACTCACCATCCTTCCACCACCTTAACTTGAATTGAAAATAGACTAAGTCAGAAACTTCATACTTGGCGACTCGGGTGCTACATCTATAATGTAAGTATGTAGAATTAATTATAAATATTTCATTACAATACACATCATGTATCAATTTATAAAGTTTTCATCATAAAAATAAAACATTCTATCATAATCACTTATTTGCAATAATAATTATAATGTTATCAACGTGTAAATTTAACCTTTACATGAATTAGCTCAACATGTAAAATAAAATTGAAAATATAGCTTACATTAACATTACAAAGGTTACCGATGAGAAAAAAATTGTATTATTGTGGACTTTTTTTCTTCTTGAGTTTTGAGTTGTGTCGGATGTTAAGAAAAATATAATTTAGGGATTTATTATGCACACAAACATACTTAATTACATTCCAACTATTATATTCCATTATTTCGCATTTCTATCATAAAACCCAGCAATATGATTTAACTTTTATTTAAATTCCAAAAATCAAACCCAAAAACTATATATTTTTACATAACCAACTACAATTTAGGCAAGTAAATATGTATGGTGTCATGTCCTCTCTTTGTGAGGTTTCTCTTTGTGAGGTTGAGTGTTCAAGTTTCGTCCGGGACATATGTAAAATTAAGGAGTAGCTTTGAAGTAAATTAAAATGTGTACCATTAAAATAAACTAACATAAAAATTATTGATTACATGAATAACATAATCTATTTATCTCTTTCATCCCATTGAACGCATAAATGCTCACAAAAAGAAAAATCTTTAGAAAAGTTGGCAAATATAGAAAGTAGCGCACAAAATCTTGCAGGAAGTTAGAAAAAAAAAATATGAATGCATTTTCAGGTCTTCTTTTCCTTCGTCTCATTCTTTAGGCTCTATCAACTTGATTATCTCAATGAACTATATAGAACTCGATATTAACCAGTTAAATAACATAATCACTAATTAAATACCATAAGTTAAAAAACTGAATGATTGATTAGTTGAAAATTGAGGAGTTTTAATTTAGAATGAACCAATATAAATATCCAATCAATTAAGTAGAATAAGTTTAACAATTTCAAATGAATATGGTTCAATATATATGATCTATCTTGAACCATATTAAATTAGATGAACCTTTATTATAATAAGAGTTATAAAAATATAGATTTAACTTTTAAGACTATGTTATTGCCTTATTGGTGATTGGCACCGACCAATTTATCAATATAATAGCAGAAAGAAAAGAAAACAATTAATTCAAATTCAAACTCACACAACCAACTCGTTCTAAGTTCTGAAAAGCATAAACGTAATGATGAATGTAGACACGCACAATAGCAACATCAAGAACAAATTAGTGTGATTCAATCTGATGCAAACACAAAAATAAGGGGAAGGAAACGCAGCAGAGATTCATGGAGACAAAATAAAATAAAAATAAAAATAATAAAATTGATGGAGTAATAGATATCTGTGGATGAAGATAACTCAATGGAGAAAAATCGCAGCAGAAAAAATGAAGGAAGAAGAAGAAAAAACGCAGTAAGGAGATCAATAGTTTTCTCTTCTGTGAAGATGAATAGACAAGGGTAAAATGGGAATAATTTTGTTTTGCCCTCCTAATCAGCCCAAAATTGGTCAGATGATTTTGAGGGGGAGAACATTTTGCTTCTTTTCAGCCAGTAAACTTAATCTGTATAATTTATTAATTTTAATTTATCGAATAAGATCCAATCAACCAAAGTAAACAAATAAATATGAGTAGAGAAATGGTTTTGTTGTTGTTGTTGTTGTTGTTGTTATCATATACAAATTACAAAATAAGGTTAATCTGTATAGTTTTAATTTGTTGAATGAATATACAAACCAATGGAGTTGTCCCCTTTCTCCCATTCAACTATCAATAAAAATAACCCTCTTTTACATGCCTCTCTCTCTATGTCATGAAAGATTCACCACACCCACATTGTCCCTTTGAGTTAGGGTTGATAAATACAAACTCTGACCTGTTTCATAACAATTATAAATAAATAAGAGATAAACAACAGCTTAGTGGTGTATTTGAGATCTTGAATTTGTAGTCAAAAGATACTCTAATTGAGAAATGAGAATGAAATCATATTAACTGTGTAAATTCCATTTGTATGCAGTTTTAAAGTATGTTGCTATTGAATGAAATGGAATTACGAAATTTTGTTCATTAGGTATTAGACTTAATCTTATGAAGTTGACTCAAGTAATTATTTACTTTATTTATAGAATGAGGGAAGTGAGGATTTGATGGGATTTTATCTATTTTGAAAGTTTGTTGTTATAATCAGAAATGGAGGGATAGATAACCAATGGAAATGTTGAAGATTGATGGCTAGAGACACTAATGATGATGTTAAAATGATCTTCTATTTAGAAATAATTTATTTGGTGAAGAAGGTATGATGTTGGTACCTCAACTTGTCATCTACAAAGTCCATTTTTGTTCCTATTACATGCATCAGAGCTTTTGGATCAATCACAATCTTCACGCCTTTGTCTTCAACCAGTTCATCAAACTTTCCTTTTTCATCTACAAAGAAAACCAACAATTTACAGGAGTCAGTTTGATAACCAGCAATCTAACTACACGTTGATTATCTAGCACTTTAGGATACACCCTCTGATTCTGATTATGATTTTCTGATCTTTTACGGACAAAATAATATCTGATTTGGGAAGAATTAGGTTTAACAATTCACATAACTCTGGAGTTGAACGCAAGCACTTGAAAGTATGAATGAATACAAACTGATAAGATAGAACTAGGGTTTTACGAAAAGCAATCGAGTACGATTAAACAAAACGAAATACAAAAGAGCTCAATTCTGTAGAGACTAGAGAAGCATAAATTAACATAGATAACAAACATATTCAAATACATGTGAATTGCGAACCTGCGTAATTGAGGGTGTAGGATAAGCCATTGCAGCCGCGAGCCTTGACGCCGAGTTTGAGAAAGGCGCGTTGGCGATTGTGAAGGAGTTGTCGTATTCTGTCCGCAGCGGCTTCCGTTAGCGTGAGGGCTTGCCGGCGGGTTGCCGAACCCACCTTCGCCGCCGCCTTCGCCAGTACCGGAGACGCCATTCAACGGATCGCGTTTCGTGGTTGGGGGAAATTGTGATCTTGAAATGGAACTTGAATCGAATAGAAATGGAATTTTCTGTTGTTAGGGTATCGACTTTTAGACATTTTTTGACCGTCACGTTGGTAATTCGTCGTCTAAGATTAGAAAATCCAAAACCAAACAATAAGAATTTATTTATGTTTAATACTGTAGATCATTATTTTTAAACATAAATTATTGTATATGATAAATAAAAATGTTGTCCAAAATGAATTACGCAACTAGCCGTTTTTACACAAAATATTACCGTTTTTACATAAAATATTACTGTTTTTTTTTAATTCAAATTTTTACACACTTTCCAACCTATATAAATGTCACTTAATATCATATTTTATACCACATTTCCATCTTTTATTTTTCACTCAAAAAGTCTTCCTATTATGAAAAAATGATTTCCCCTTTCCAACTCAATAACTCCAAAAACTAGTAAAAAGACAAAAAAAAAAAACACAAACTCAGTCTCATCTTCATCGCCTACCTTCATCCAAAATCAAAGTGATCATCATATTCATCCACCTCGTAATTTCCGCTATCTCGGTGCATACTACCCATATCTTATCCAAACTCAATCACAATTCCAAACTCAATCTCAATCCCAACTTCAAATGCAATTCCAATCTCAAGTCCAATTGCAATTGGAAAATGACTTTAATCCATTTGACCATCTTCTCTACTTGCCATTCAAATTCCAATCTCAATCCCAAACCCAATTTCAAACTCACCCATAACCCGAAATAGTACTGAAACGCAAGGACTAAAGTTGGCTTAAAACAGTGTCATACAACATTCTTGAAAAAAAAAAAGGAAAAACTGCAATAAAGTCCCTACATATTGGCCTCATAATCGATTTAGTCTCTATATATTTTTTTTATTCAATTAAGTCCCAAATACCGGTAATCGTATTCAATTTAACCCTTTGACCAGGTCAACAGGTCATTCAACTTTCAAAAATTACATTTTTGGCCCAAATATCAAAATTTATTACAAATTTGCTCCAAAATTTACACTTTTGGCCCAGATTTTAAATTTTGTTACAAATTTGGTCCAAACTTTACCCATTTTGCCCAAATTTTAGAATTTTATTATGAATTCATCCTAACTTTAGTTTTTTTTACAACTTTTTTCTCTCAAAGAATTGTTTCTAATATGTTTTTTCTTTATAAAATCATATTTATACAAAAAAACGTATTTTCACATAAAAATCTTATATTTTCTATATAAAATATAAGATTTTTTATGTGAAAATATGTTTTTTTTGTATAAATATATTTTTATAAGGAAAAAACATATTAGAAACAATTTTTTGAGAAAAAAATTTGTAAAAAAAACTAAAGTTAGAATGAATTCATAATAAAATTCTAAAATATGGGCAAAAAGGGTAAAGTTTGGACCAAATTTGTAACAAAATTTAAAATTTGGGCCAAAAGTGTAAATTTTGGACCAAATTTGTAATAAATTTTGAAATCTGGGCCAAAAATGTAATTTTTGAAAGTTGGATGACCTGTTGACCGGGTCAAAGGGTTAAATTAAATACGATTACCGGTATTTGGGACTTAATTGTATAAAAATATATATAGACTAAATCGATTATGAGACCAATACGTAGGGACTTTATTGCAGTTTTCCCAAAAAAAAAATACAAATTATTCTATCACATTCGACGCTTTGACCTTACAATTTCTCAAAAGTGGTTGTACATCATAAATATAAGTTCAACTTTGAAAAAACTATTTTGCAAGGATGCTACAATAACAAATAGTCAAATACAATCAACAAAATTTATATACAAACAAACATTTGGAAACATATACATCATTACAAAAGCAAACAACAAAAGTCTAGAATCTTTATTACAACAGAACCAATTAACTTTGTTGAAACACCAATCATGGCATCCTAATTTCAGAGCATTACCAAGGAATAGCAACCAAGTTGTGAATACCCCACAAACACCAAGGAGCAACAACTAACTCGTGACTTCACCATACTAGCGACTAAAGTCAGTGTACAAATCAGAATAACACCAAACCCCATATATTTAGAAAATCTTCAAGCCAACAATGAATCAGATATATGATATATCCCTCTGCTGACATCACCATTCAGAATAATATCAGAAACTCAATACCAAATCATATGGTATACCTCCTAAATCAAAGGAAACAGAAACTGAACACAAAATTTTAGAAAGGAACTCTAGAAATTTATACCTAAGCAAACCACAAATATCATAACTAAAGAACAGATTTTGAACTCAAATAAACCTAAAAAACATCTGGCTTTTGGTGCCTTTCAAAATTTAAAAAATAAATAAATGAAAAACTCACCCAAATCACAGGAATCGGAAATTAGGAGAATACTAGAAGTGATCGGTATCAGAAGAAATCAAAATGAGAAATTAGAATTAGAATAAGAAATAGAAATAAGATTTCGGCCAACTTTAGTATTAGAATATGTATTTATTGTTTAACAAAAGATAATTAACTCTTACTGTATAATGTCCAGTGAATGCATGCATGAGATTTGTCAAAGCATTAAAATATTTCCCAAGATTTTCAAGTAACTTTGAGAACGCATACTAAGAAAATTTGAAGTGAAAGTGAAAAGAGGGATATATTTGCTTCCCGTTCAATGAACTATTAACAAAGAGGCATATATTTGTTACTTGTTAGGAAGAAGTAGCATGGAAAGTGCCACAAGATAATGCTTGGTGCATTAATAATGGCACTACTTTTGTTTGTATGTGTTACTTTAGAGGGTTTTGTCGACTTCAAAATGGTTCCAATTCATATAATATGATGGTAATCTGTTTCAGTTTCAAAGAATTCAATATTTATGTTTATATATGTAATATGTATGTAGATTACTATATGGCTGATTTGATCTAGTAATGGTCATATCAAGTTTTCCTGTTTCTAAAAGAAATGAGGTTGTAAAAAAAAATTATATATACAATGCCGATTTGTGGATATAAATTGTCCATTTACTTTTAAGTCTTCCAAGTCTTGTGTATTGACTTCCACGATGGCTTGGCTTTATATTATATGAACTAGTTTGTTGATGATAAGAAACCATCAGTTCATCATAACCGCCCACCATTACACTTGAAATCTTTCAAAATTAAACCGAATTAGTGTTGATGATGGGAAATGGATTTATTATTTTATTTTTTATATACTTGTTTGGGTAGTGTAGGAAATATGAAGGGTAAATGGATCAAGGAGTCTGCCTAATTGGCACACAATTTTGATGACATATTACAAAATATGTTTTTCTATATGAATATGATACAACTACTTTATATGCATGATTTTGAACGACTATTAACTATTGACTATGACATACAAACTTCTTTAGCTACTCCAAATGAAAATAATCATCTTAAAACTTACCAAAAATCATTGCAACCTATCCACAAAGTGATGAAACCGACTATTATCTCTAACAATAATCTCTCCCCCTTCAACTTTAGACATCAACTTAATTGCAGAATGACAATCAACACAGACTCTTATATTCTCCTTTACAATAATCGGTTTCCCAATTGGTATCCTTATAAGTGCATATGCTATATCAATCCTCTCACTATGATGGTTCAAAATCTTCACCTTCATATCATAATCCAAATCAAATGGAACAGAATCAACATCAGGAACATATCCAACTTCAATTATCTTCCTCAAAACCTCATCAAGTTTCAAATCAATCTCCTTTTTATCCCCATGACACAAATCTTCAACTCCAAAAACATGAACTCTCTTATCAACATCAACCCAACTGCACCCCTTGACTTTTTTCACATTTTCATCTTTCATCATCTTTCTAACACTTTTCACATCCTCCCATTGCTGTTCTTTTGCGTATATGTTTGAAAGTAAAACATGGGCCCCACTGTTTAAAGGGTCTATAATCTTTAAACTTTTGGATGCAAGCTCTCCCCTTTCTTTATTACCACATTTTCTACAAGAAGCTAAAAAAGAACACCATGTGTACGCGTTTGCCTCAAATGGCATACTTTTTATAAAATTTTCAGCTTCTTTAAGCTTCCCTGATCTTCCCATAAGTCAATAACACAAGAGTAATGTTCTGATTTAGGTTTTACACCATAGATTGTTTCCATGGAGTTGAAGTAGCTTAATCCTTCTGTTAATAACCCCGAATGGCTACATGTGTTTAAAAGATTTATAAATGTGACTGAATTTGGTTTAATGTCATGAAGTAACATCTGTTCAAATACATTTATAGCTTTGTGCCCTAATCCGTGGTGAGCAAACACACCAATCAAGGAATTCCATGTGAACTCATTTGGTTTAGAGATTTTGTCAAATGCTTGAAGTGAATGATCAAGCAAACCACATTTCCCATACATGTCAACAATGATGGAAGAAACAAAAGGGTCTTGATCAAGATTGTATTTTAACACTAGGGCATGAAGTTGGACCCCTTGTTTAAGTGTAACATGATTAGCACAAGCTTTGATTAAGCTATAAAAGGTGAACTCATTAGGTTCAATTCTTTATCTTTTTAGCTCAATGAAAATAGCAAATGCCTTCTCGATTTGATCAGATTCTACATACCCATCAATCAAAGAAGTATAGGAAATGATATTTGTACCTTTAGAGTTGATTTTGAGCAACTGTGAGCCACTATCCATGTCTCCTAGTTTAAAATACATGTCCATAAGTGCATTGCCAACAGAATTATGTTGTTCAAATCCTAATTTTGTAACAAAGGAATGAAGAGAGCTTCCAATGTTATATGCTTTTAAAGGTCCACAAGCACAAAGTGTACTACAAACAAGATGTTGATCGATGGTAACGTCTTCAATCAGCATCTTCTTAAAAGAAACCAGTGCTTCTTCGTTATAACCATTTTTTGCATACCCATTAATCATTGAATTCCATGAAACTTCATCTTTAGAAGGCATCTCCTCAAAAACCATACAAGCCTCAATGATAGACCCACATTTTGAGTACATGTCTGCTAAATTACTACCAACAAAAAGCTCATAACTAAACCCAGCCTTAAGAGCAAGACAATGGATTTGAGTCCCAATTTGGACTGATTTGAGAGAAGAGCAAGCTTGAATCACACTGGAAAACGCAAACTGGTTTGGGCTTTCACCGGAGTCGCACATTCCACAAAATGTGGTAATTGCTTTTGTGAACTCAGAATTCTGAGAAAACGCAGAGATCATAGCAGTCCAAGATACCAAGTTTCTTTGAGGCATTTCATCGAACATCCTATGGGCGTACCCGAGTTGACCGCATCTTGCATACATTGACAGGAGATGATTGGTAAGATATGTGGATGATGGGTAACCAGAGGTGATGAGCTGCGCATGAAGTAGCTTTCCATTAGATAGCTATTTGGATTGGGTGTAGGTTTGAATAATGTGCGCCAAGGTATTCGAGTGTTTTTGCAAGTGTTTGGTTAACATTCGAAATGTCATAACAAATTCCGCCTCTCACCTCTCCCCAGATCGCTCCGTCGTCGCCCGCCTATCCTTCTCGTCACCGTCTCCATAAACTATCAGTCAAAAGAATGACACAATCATCTCCATCTCTCATATGCAACTCAAACAACTTGTACTTGATCAGAACAATAAGTAATTTTTATGTTTCAAATTACAATTCATTTCACCCAATAAAAACTTTAATATGTATTTAAAAAAAAAACTTTTTATCTATAAAATATTAACTATAATATATTTAATTATTTTTTTAGTAGTTGTTTTTAAATTTTAATCCACAATTAAATAATTAGTTTTTGGTTTCTTAAATAGAGTTGGTTAGTATTCTAATTATACGTGTTTTTAATGTGTTTTGACTCTTGAAAATCGATTTGTAAAAACTAGGTCTGATAATCGGGTTGGGTTCGGGTTGGCAGGTCAAAAAACATAAACTCAACCCAACCAATATAATATATGAGTTGGCGGGTCACGGGTTGGTGGGTTGGAAACTTCAACCCAACCCAACCCATATAACCTATTTAAGTATATGGGTTCGCGGGTTCACAAGTTAATGGGTCGAACCCAACCCATATAACTCGTTTAATAAATAAGCAACACATTTTTAAAAGTGATGTTTTTTTTAACATAAAGTCATAAAGTGATTAAACTAATTAACATAAAAAGAGGGTTTCAACATAAGTTCATAAAATCATTAACATCCAAATAAAATTGAAAAATGAAAACATTCATACAAAGTAGATGCGTTCTTCATTCGTGACTCGTGAATATTATGACATGTGTTTTTTCTTTTTTGATTAGGCCACTGCAAACGCAGACTAACCACATACGAATACGGAAAGAATACAATGATACAAAATATTACGAATACGGAAGGAAATCAGATTTCACTAATATTTAAATATATCTATATTATATATATATATATATATATATATATATATATATATATATATATATGGGTTGGCGGGTTGACCTGCGAACCCAAATAGGTAACCCGACCCAACCCATGAAATAAACAGGTCGGCGGATTGGCGGGTTGACGGGTTGGGTCAGTGTCGGGTTACAGGTTGGGTCGAGAGTTGCCACCCTTAATAAAAACTGATTCAACCGTTGGATCAGATCGAATTTGAATTTAGTTTTGATTATTTGGATCCATATTTTGAAAACCAAAATATATTTGGATTAACTTGATTGGATCGGTCCAAATTGATCCATCCAAATGAACATCCCTAGGCTTAGCGGGTTAGTGAAACTATCAAGCCCTGAAAGCTTATGCATTGGTTGCTTGCAACTTATGTTTGTATATTTGTACCATAGTATGTGGGTTGAGAGAGATAAATTTCTTAAGTGTTTAAGATTAAAGAGTTAGAAGTAAGAGGATATATAAATAGTTAAATACTGATGTGATTAGGGATGACAATTCTCGACCCAACCTGTAACCCGACACGAAAATAAACAAGTTTGAGTTGAGATTTCTGACCCGCTAACCCGTTTATTTCATGGGTTGGGTTGGGTTACATGTTTAGGTTCGCGGGTCAACTCGCCAACCCGACTACATGTATTATATTTTACAAAAATAAAATTTTATTTATGAATTAATGGAATACATTATACAGCATGCCCTAACATTCTAACCCCAGATCCAATTATATTTATCGATCATTCTAGTCAATGTAAAATTAATTAATTTAGAGATATGTATAGTTCGTATAAATTTAACATGTGAAAAGTTACCTGGAAATAACACGACGACTCTTTGACTAAAATCGACCCACTGACCCGCGAACCTATATACTTAAACAAACTATGCGGGTTCATACCTACCACGTAGGCATCACATATAGGCTTGACAATTAGGTTAAGTTCGGGTTGACGGGTCAGAATATGTTGATCCAACCCAACCCATATAATAAATGGGTTGGCTAAAATCGACCCAACCCAACCTATATTTCCAGATCCAATTATATTTCTCGATCATTCTAGTCAATGTCAAATGATATTGTTAATTAATTTAGAGACATGTATAGTTCGTATAAATTTAACATGTGAAAAGTTACTTGAAAAAACCAGCGACTTTTTGACTAAAATCGAGCCACTAACTCGCGAACATATATACTTAAACAAACTATGTGGGTTGGGTTGGTTGAAGTTTCCAACATGCCAACCTTTTTATGGGTTGGGTTAGGTCAATGTATTCTGACCTGTCAACCCATGACCCGAACCTAACCAATTATCAGGCCTAGATGTGATGTCTACGTGGTAGGGATGATCTCTCTCTCTCTCTCTCTTAGGAACATTTAGTTTTGGATTTTATGTAATTTTAAATATTTAAAAATTTTAGAGCTACAAGTTGTCGGGATAGGGTTATTCTTGTAGTGCTACAAGTTTCATAACTCAACATAAACTTACACTTAATCGATTGTAACTTTTGATAGGCATATTTTTTATTTTTTGAACGACATTTGATAGGCACATTTGAACATAAAAATAAATTCGTAATGATTTTATTGAAGGTCGGGGATCAATAATTCAATATAGGGAGGTATGCCAAGATGTTGACAAGAAACTAAGTCATCAAAGAAGATCCGGATAAGTTAGAATATTTCTTGAAATCAAACAAGTCTATGTACGAAGCATTCTCAATTTAGTTTGAACCTATGGTTGCCAATCAAATTAATCTGAGAAATTAAATTCTTTAGAAATTTTTTTGATAACTAATTAATTTAACTTTAAGCTGAAATCCCGATCACCTTATATGACCACCAATTGCCATATACAAACATTTGTGGTGGCACAAACAGACGTTTGGCTGTTGTGAGTTGTGACAGTGACTATCTGCCATCAGCCCATCATGACATGACAATCATATATATTACTGGCTCTTGGCAGTGATCAGATTCTTTGGTGGAAGTCCGTTGCTACACCATTGCGTTGCTCTTATTCCAAGTATAATTATCAACATGTTATATGTTTTTTAAGAGTAAATTACACGAATGGTCCTTATGGTATGGGGTAATTTGCACGTTTGGTCCCTTACTTATTTTTTTAACTCGGAAGGTCCCTACAATTTGTTTTTGTTTCATGCTTGGTCCTTGTCTTACCTAAAAAGACTATTTTGCCCTTGATTTTTTAAGAAAAAATTGCAAATTTAGCAAAATATATTAATTACTTTTTGGAAAATAGCCAAAAAAAACTCAAATTACAAAAATAGCCCTTAAAATCGCAGATGGATTAAACCCATCTGCGATTTTGCCCTTCCATCTGCGAACGTACAAGTGGCTGAAGCACAGATGTGCTTTAGGCACTTATACGTTCGCAGATGGAAAAGTTCATCTGTGATTTCGTGAAGTCCATCCGCAATTTCGTGGGATCTAGTATAAAAACGTTTTTTTTTCTCATTTTTCACTCTCTTTCTTGGAGAAACTTTTTCTCTCTGCGATTTCCTTAGAGCTATCATGGATGATATCATGGACGATTTCCTTAGAGATGTTTGAAACAAATTTTCCAAAAAAATAACAACAAAAATGATAATTTTTTGAAAAAGTTTATATATAATAAGGTTGTTTTGTAGTCAAACCTATCAATTTCATAGTTAAAATTTAAAAAAAAATGAAAAAAAAATTCACAAAATTGCAAGTCAAAAGGAGAGGAAATCGCAGATGGACATAGTCTATCTGCGATTTTAGGCTGAAAAAGGGGTATATATATAAGGAAAAAAAACCAACTACGAACGTACAAGTGGCTAAAGCACGTCTGTGCTTTAGCCACTTGTACGTTCGCAGATGGCATGGCGAAATCGCAGATGGATTATACCCATCTGCGATTTTAGTGGCTAAAATGCAATTTTTTTTTTGGCTATTTTCCACAAAGTAATTATAGTGTATTTGGCTAAATTTGCAATTTTCTCATTTTTTAATTTGTTTAAATAAAATGGGGTATATAAGGTAATGTAAGGTGAGGTGGAAGTGAGGTTAGGAGTGTGTTTATTTAAATAAATTAAAAAATCAAGGGCAAAATAATCTTTTTAGGTAAGACAGGGACCAAGCGTGCAACAAAAACAAACAGTAAGAACCTTCCGAATTAAAAAAATAAGTTAGAAACCAAACGTGCATATTATCACAAACCATAAGGACCATTCGTGTAATTTACTCGTTTTTTAAAGATGTTTGAAGGGGTTAGGCATTATGGAAAAAGATTTTTATAGGTCTATGTGTATTCTGCTTACGTAAGGTCATTTTGGTGCACACATTTTGATTTATAATTGCCATTTATTGTTAGCTTTTGGTCTGAAAGCTAAACTTTCGTCGGTGTCAATTGTGATGGGAGGGACCGAGAGTCTAACATGACCCATCCATGCATCCTTATCGTCTTTATATCGATGGTAAGTTCCTGGTACATGCACATTATATGTTTTTATAGCAGAAAAAATCTTAACAAAAATAAATAAATTCCATTACCCATGTGTAAATTATTAATTGACAACATGGTATTTAATAATACTAATGATATTGATTAAACTAACAAGTAACAACAATAAATGAAGTTATTAACAAAAATACCAATTGTTTGTGTGTGTTTTCTTTTTTGCAAAATAACAACTTATTCTAAAACACGTCATTCGGGAATACTATTCCAAATTTCAGATCAAATCATTCCAGAGCGACTTGTTGTTATGTGATTGTGGTAAATCAAAGCCTAAGCTTCCAACAATACATTTTTAATAA